TGAGAGACAGGTAGCTTACATAACAGAGAACTCACAAAAAAAAAATCAGAAACAAATAATAATTTTTAGGTACCAAAATATTTTTTTGCGGGGTCCGAACCCCTTCAAGTTCGGGCCCCGTACGGGGACCCGAATGCCCGAACGTTCGGGGGTCAGCTTAGGGGCCTCCGTACGTTCGGCCTGGCAACCCTGACGATATATATATAATAATGCAGGGATGTTATTTATAATGTTGTGGTCGCAGTAATCATACTATGATAATAGTAATAATAATTCTTATTAATAGTTATTATTATAATATTATTATTCATGGTGATGATCCAGATGTCCAGATCGCAGTGCAGAAGGTCTGGGTCTGGGTCGGGGTCCAGTGTGCGGTCCAGAGCGTCCGGATCCTCCCGCCCCCCCCCCCAAAAAAAAAAAAAAAAAAAAAAAATCCGACTTCAAAATAAAATTCAAAATAATGTGAGAAAAAGATATGTGCAATGAACCCAGTCCGGTGGAAAGCTCAAAAATACTGAAGTACAGCATGTGTCAGCGCAGTTTCAATGTCTCAAAAATCGTACACGTAATCAAGAGTCCTATGTCACGTAGCCAGAGAAGAGAGTGAGATGAAAGGGAGATTAGACTGAGAGGGTGGACGAGAAAGCAGCTCAGCTGATAGATCTCCCTCACAGGCCCACTCCTCCTTCGGGCATCTCCTACTCGCCACGTCAGCAGACAGTTTCCTCTGACACGCTCTGACATCGAACAGATCTTAACATGGCGCACACGACGCAGACTCCTTCTGAAGACACCAGCAGAGCGCAATGTCTGTGTGCTTGATCGGTGGCGTGGAATGGGTCCGCGTTGACTTTGACTCGCGAACCTGAAAATTTCCTAGCTGCTGTTGACCTTTGACTTTCCACGGTCAACTGTCGCGCACGTTGAGCCGCTTAAGGCCGGTTTTAACCGGCCTTGCTTCGGGTACCCCACAATACGAGGCCTTCTTCGTTCAGCCGGTGTTCGTGACTTGGGCGTGGTCGTTTGACAAAATTGACCGCCCCTTTTCGGCCTTAGGCCAAAACGACAACCCCAGCCCACGACTGATGCATGATTTGAGCAAACTTAGCGTAGTTACTGCATATGTTATGCAGCATATTGCAATAGGTAAATCTTTTCGCTGAGGATCATCTCTGGAGAGAGACCTCAGTATGTTGAGAGTGGGCATCATCCGCCCGGACCCATCTGTTACACTTTGCTCTGTCATCTTCTTCTTCTTCTTCTTCTTCTTCTTCTTCTTCTTCTTCTTCTTCTTTTTCCCTGTTGGTCTTACTCTCAGAGGAATTCGGAGAGGTGGACTTTGGAGGGTGAGGTGGAGTGGTGAACCGTTTTCGGGAGTGTGACAGGCAGACCGCTCTCAGAAGACTCAAGAGTAGAGAGTAGTGGAGCGAGACCCTAGGATTGTTATAACTTATTTCTGATGTATCAGACCACAATTGCTTCCACATTGTGATGTATCAGACCGCAATTGCATCCATAAACCAGTCAAAAAAAAGTCCTTAGCGTGCGTGAGTAGGTCCTGATGGTTGCCTCTCCTGTTTTTGTTCCTTGTTGGCTGTTTTGTGTATCTGCTTCGAGTCTAGGACTATTGTTTCTGATGTATCAGACCGCTATTGCATGCGCATTCTGACTTGTCAGACCGCAATTGCATCCATATTCTGATGTATCAGACCGCAATTGCATCCATAAACCAGTCAAAAAAAGTCCTTAGCGTGCGTGAGTAGGTCCTGACAGTTGCCTCTCCTGTTTTTGTTCCTTGTTGGCTGTTTTGTGTATCTGATCTGGGTCTATGTGACAGAGCTGACAAGCAAGATAAGACGCTTCAAGACCTCCTCTAGTCATGTTTGGACGTAACATCCAGTGGGATTTGGGGCCTTGGTCCATTACTACCACAGTAACTACCAAATGTGAAACAGTGAAAATGACAAGTGCATCTTGCACTAGAACCTGCCCAGATACGTTTGCCATTTTCACATTTGCTATGCAGTGGAACCCAAAACGTTCCTGAGGCTTGCTCATTAATTATTATTTAGTATTTTACACTTTATGAACCACCACGACGCCATCACTCGCAGGAAGCTGCTGCTGCTGTTTGAAATTCCATCTTCCTATAAATAGACTGTCAATGAGTGACCTGGTTTATACTTTTTTTTTTTTTTTTTAACTGAAATGTATGCAAAGCAGGTTTTTAACCAAATAATAAAAATAATGCAGTTGTTCAAGATGGCCCAACATTCCATTTGGAAGAAGATGGGAGCCGCCTCACACGTAATTAATCTTTTGGGCTGATTGGCCTGCAAGTAGCAATGAGGGACCTGCACTGAAGGGCCTGCAAGTAGCAATGAGGGCTAATTAATCTTTTGGTCTGATACATCAGAAACAATAGTCCTAGACATGAAAAAAAAAGGGACACCAACTGGCCTACCAAAACAACCCATAATACCCACGAGCTAAATCCAAAATCACCTACTCGATTCGCAAGCATTCGCAACCTGCGGCGGTTGCCCTCTCCATCGATGACCCTCGCGGCTAAATCTGCTATATATTTTTAAACGATTTTGGCGTAGTTTTGTTGCCTCACTTTCTAGGTGACTAGAAGGCTTTGACCATTAGTTCATTACGCTCTACAGCTGCGCAAAGCGCTCCCGTAAAAAAATGGCCGGGAAATCCTGGCGGCCCTGGCCTACAAAATTTTGTACGTTACTACGTTTTGGATATAGCATATGTGTTTTGGTTGATTTGGAATTTTGGATATCTACTTTTGTGTATCTTGGCTGGTGGAGCCATCGTGTTGAAATAGAGACCTGAGTTCCCATTCAAATTGAACCAGATGAGTGAAAATAACTTCGAAGTTTGAAGTTCAAATTCACCTGGGGGCCGGGGCCGGTCAGGTCAAAGATGATATCTCAAGGTGGTTGCCCTTTTGAGAAAGATAAAAAAGAAAAGAAGAGATAGTGTCTCTTAAGATTGGAGAAGCTGTGGCTTGAAAAAAAAAAAGAAAAAAAAAAAGAAGATGGGACAAGCAAGGGAAACGGAGTGTCAGTCTTTTCTTTTTGTTTATTGTCTCTACTTATGAGATGTTGTGCGTCCGAGGGAGAAAAGGTGGGGACCACAACTGAAATGTACTTCCTCCGCTGGAGTGAAAAGTGTCGTGTCGTTGAAGCTAAGGCAACTGAAGTCCAAAGTACTTGTTACGGGCCTGCAAGTAAAATCAACAGGGGAAACGTAAGCTGCCCGGGAAACCGTAGGCAGAGAGGGCGAAGAGGACAACACGAGGGGCTGTGACAAACTGTTTCGTCGGAGTTTCACCGACTCGTCAGGAGGCCGAACCCTCAATAGTCTGCAGAATCCCCTAACTGATTATACTGTAAGTGATAATCCACCTTAAACCCTGTTGTGGTTAAGCATCAATGACTGCCTGACAACTGATACCCTGAGGTGGGCAGCAACCACTGCCCTCAAGGTACCTGTGATGGAAATCAAAGCAGACTATCACTCACCCACACCAGATGGAAAACTCTATAGACTGTCGGTTCACACCACATCACAAGCCAGCAAAACACCCACGAAACAAAGAAAGGTCTGTCACAGCCAAAAGATACCCTCCAGACACGCCACTGGCACTAACATGCACAGCATGGCCGCGTAGTGACGGCCCTGACCGCTGCCGCTCAACCTAACTGGAGAAAACCGTAGCAGCGTGCTGGCGAAGTCGTGATATATATCGTCAAACAGAGCTGTCTGGGAAACCGTAGGCAGAGAGGGCGAAGACGATAACAAACGAGGGGCCTGGCGAAACAGTTTGTCACAGCCCCTCGTTTGTTGTCCTCTTCTCCCTCTCTGCCTACGGGGCAGCTCTGTATATATATACAGGGTAACTGGCGTTCGGGACAGCCGAACGCCCGAACCCGAACGCCCGAACGTACAGGACCACTTGGGGATGCGTTCGGCCGTTCGGGCCGAACGTGGACCGGAAAAAAAAAAAAAAAAAAAAAAAAAAAAAAAATCGAAAAACTTTGAAAATAAGATATGTTATGAAGACCTGTGTAGCACACCAAACATGTTCGGAGCTTTTCCGAACGTCAGCTGAACGTGTTCGGCCGAACATATTAAAAAAAAAAAAAAAAAAAAAACTTTGTTTTTTGGTTTTTGTTTTTTAAATCGAGTTTGGTTACGAATTTGAGCATACCTCCAAGGCAAAAGTTGTTTATATTATTATTTCACATTATATGTATTTTTTCTGATTTTTTGGAGAACCTTTTTTTTTTTATGTTCGCGTTCGGAAAGTTTCGGCGCTCGTTTACGTTCGGGTTCGGTCACCAAACTCAAACATTATGCTACACAGATGAAGACAAATAAAATAAACAACATTTGCCTGAGCATACATCCAAACTCCTTACCAAATTATAAATTCAAATTAAAAACCGAAAATAAAAATAATAATAAAAATAAGAAAAAATGAACAGAGAACTGAAATTAGTGAGTGAGCGAGAACGTTTTTGACATTGTTATTTTTGGCGATTTTTTTTGGGGGAGGGGGGGCACAGCCAAATGCCCTGAAAATTTACAGATGTGTACTTCACATAATACAAAACTCACTAAAAAAAAATCAAAAAATAATAAAATTGTTTAGGCCCGGCAATAAAGTGAAAACAAAAAGTAAAAAGTGAAATAAAAACAAAATAATCACGTTTTGATGCTGCCATCTTTGGCGATGGCTGAAAGTCTGAAGTAGGTGTATGATTACCAAAATGTGCCTTTGTACTTAGTAATCTTTGAATTTGTCAATTACAATTGTAAAAAATAGAAGATATGTTAATTAATTGAAACAAATGAATAAAATAAAAGACTGATTAATTTTTGTTTGGCTTACCAAAATGATTTCAAAATTTATAGGCATGTACCGCACATCATAGAGAACTCACAAAAAACAATTCAGAAAAAAAACTTATTTTAAGGCCTGAAAATAATTTTGGCGGGGGTCAAAGAGAAAAGGTTAACCGAGCTCTCATTTTTCACCTCAATTTATAAGAAATCTTACTAACATATTATAATAAAAACACCAAGAAAAAAAAAAAAAACACATAAAACAGCAACTCAAAAGTGCATTTTCAGGCATTTTGCCAAAAAACAACTTCTATCAAAATTTCAGGATTTTCAGGATGATTAACAGCACAAATTCTAATAACCGAAATGGCACCAAATTTGACACACAGCAAGTTTGTCCTAAAACGAAAATAGGCAAAAAAAAAATTCAAAAAAACATAAAATTTGACCCCGAAACCCTAATTTCGGGATCATTCATCGTTACCCAGGGCAGAAAAGTGGGGGTCCCCGTTAACCACTTGTGGGGTCAAACGCCTTTGGGTTCGGACCCCGAACGGGACCCTGAATGCTCGTATGTACGGAGGTCGGCCCGGGGATTTCCGTACATACGGGTTGTTGACCCTGTATATATATATATGCCCGGTAACAGTAGGCAGAGAGGGAGAAGAAGACGACAAACGAGGGGCTATGACAATATATATTTCTGTTTGTGACGATATATACATATACACACACACATATTTGTCACAGCCCCTCATTTGTTGTCCTCTTCTCCCTCTCTGCCTACGGTTTACCGGGCAGTTCTATTTGACGATATATATACAACGTAACTAGCGTTTGGGATCCCGAACGTACGGGACCCCTGGGAGATGCGTTCGGCCATTCGGGCTGAACGCGGACCCAAAAAAAAAAAATAAAAAAAATCAAACAAATCTGAAAAAAAGATATGTTATGAAGAAAAATCCAATAAATGATTTTTTTTTTTTTTTTTTTAATTCAAACAGCCGGGAACCGGACCCGGAGAGCCAGGAATCGGGTCTAGCGTCCCTTATAAAAAAAAAGAAGTTTCACAGTCCTGTTAGAAGGCGAGAGATCGCCGGTCAAGCCCAAAAACTGGACCGCATCACACAGGTATGCACGAAAGGAAAATACAAGAGTCGGACCCACAGTCGTAGAGGAACAAATAGGTAAACAATGAAGCGTAGGAAAATCTATACGAAACATTTCAGCTCAGGGGAACGGCCAGACTCAGCAGACATTATAACCAGACCCATAAATTGGGCCCACTATCTGTGGAACCTTTTAAGAGCCTTCGCTGAGAAGCCTTTGTTAACCACTTAAGGCGACCAGTCCATGTACAGCATTTGCGTAATCGAGTACTTAATTTCCGTACGGACCATCGGGGATGTGAGTTTTTTCCCCCCATGCACTACCGAGTTCCTGAGAGTCCACAGAGTCCACAGCATGGTAACATTTGCCTGAGCATTACATCCAAATTCCTTACCAAATTTGAAATAAAAATCAAATAAAAAAAATAAAATTAATAAGAAAAATAAGAAAAAATAAAAAGGAAATTCAAATTAGTGAGTGAGTGAGCACGTTTTCGACACCGACATCTTTGGCGATTTGTCATTTTTTTTTGGCACTGCCAAATGCCCTGAAAATTTGCAGATGTGTACTTCACATAATACAAAACCCATTAAAAAGATTTAAAAAAAATAATAAAATTGTTTAGGCCCCGCAATAAAGTGAAAACAAAAAGTAAAAAGTAAAAAAAAAACAAAATAGCAAGTGGGCGAACACGTTTTGACACTACCATATTTGGCGATTTTTTATTTTTGTTTGGCTTAGCAAAAGGACATCAAAATTTATAGGCATGTAGCTACAATCATAGAGTACTTACGAAAAAAAAAAAAAAAAAAAACACTTCTTTTTAGGCCCCAAAACAGCTTTTGGCGGGGGGTGAACGTCGTCGGGTTCGGACCCCGAACGATACCCCGAACACCCGTACGTACGGAGGTCGGCCCGGGGACCTTCGTACGTACGGGATGGCTACCCTATATATATATATATATAAAGATAGATATGTAATACATTTATGAGTCGGTGAAACTCCGACAAAATAATTTTTTTTTTTTTTTTTTTTGGA